TTACCGATACTCAGAAATGCTATCCTTTTTTTTGCAGTTGTTACAACCGAATTCTTTACCAACAGGAATATCTATGCGTTTTCCTCAAGCTGAACACCCTATATAAGTAACGACATCTTTTAAATCAGGCTGTGATATTGTTATTTGTAACCAATGTCGCTCTTCTTGAAGTACATTACATGGTTGCATTGTAAGTAGATTTATACATTAATAGGTCTATTTGATAGAAACAAGTTACATGATAATCAGAACTTAATGGTAGAGTGGACATTACTTTTTTTTGTTCTAATACTCTGAATGTCTTTAGGTGTTTCATCTGTCACTGCAAAACGCACCTGCAGTACCTTTGCTTGTCGGTTTAAGAGCTGTTGGGTATGAAACTTTGCCCTATGTACAAATGTGGTTAATATTTATCATATTCCATTTGTAAGAGATATCAGATCATATAATGTTTTTGTATACATACCATTTGCATAGAATTTCGGCTTTATCTCCTTTAGGATCATATATGACTTCAGTAGACATACCAGTAAATAAAGAGAATCCTTGTAAAGCAATATTGGAAGTTAGTTTTTATAGGTAAATATTTAATGTTGTTTACCAATCTTGACCTCATATTAATACTTTTAGTTATGCATACCTTTATGCACAGATGGTCTTAAAGCAGTGAATCCAATCACATCAAAGGTTTTAGCATATAAACTAATAGCATCACAAGCATTGTCAGCTAAATCGTTCCAAGTAGTTATGACAAGAGGTTGGTCCATGCTGGAAATAATTAAAACAAAATGTGAAATTTAGTTTTAAATGAGTTCCTATTAATAGAGTTGTATAAAATTAAGGTTGTATAAACTTACGTTTGATCAGTTATAACAATTTCTCTGACATGGCATTCTCGGCCTTGATTAATATAATATTGATAATACGAACTTTATCTTCTACATAAAGAACAATGCCTAGAACATCTACAATATAAACATATTAATTTTAGTGCTAATGATTGATCACTCACTAATTTGTTTATCTGAAATATAAAGTAGAAAGTAAGATATTGTTTACCATATTTAGCTCCTGGCATTAAGATGCGTGGAATTGACTTTATAGACTGAAACATTGGTCCATCTAGTATTTCTTCAGAATTCACTCTCTGCACCACAGTTTGTCCTCCAAAAGACATTTGGAAAGGAAGCTCATTTGAATTATTTCTCCACTGCTCTTCTATGAGCTTGATAGGAGCATTTGAAATGATATATTGACCATTATAGACTATCGCTTCATTAAAACTCTCAACTTGTTCCCCAAATAATGCAGCCTTAATTTAATTTCCCTGCAATTTCCAGCTAATCAAATTTTGCAAACTTTCCTGACATGTAACTGTGATAACTAAATTTAACATATTAGTATAGAAAGCATATTGTTATTTCAGAAGAGAAAAGTACCTTTTCATCAGTGAGTAACAAATTCTGAAACAATATTCCTTTCTTGGAAGAAGTTTTTGGCCTTGATTTCTCTACAACACTGTAATTTTTACTATTGCTGTTCAACTCATTCAGATATACATACCCTTGTACCATGATTATGAACCTACATAATTCATAGATGTAGCTTTATTATGTAGATCTTTCTTGTGATGTATAACCAGAAATTAGAAAATAGTATATACATTTCTAAACCAACTGTAATGACATGTAAACAAGAAAGTAGAATATAATTTGAATTTACCTTGAATATGTAACAGTTGTTGATGGGTTGAAAGTTTTTTGTTGTCTCTGATGATAAGAATGGATAGTGAGGTTTAGTATATATAATATGTATACAGGAGGAAAAGGACAAGCAAATGTATCTAGAGCATAGATTGTTGTGCAATGGATTACATGTATCTAGAGCCCAAAGTTTTGTCTTTTTCCTATTTCTTAACACTGAAGATATATATACTGTTAGAGCTTATTAGATCATAGTTGTACTTTCAGAAGATTTTATGCATTTTTTCACATCTTATAGCAGACTATAAGTTGACTTAGGTTATAGACTTTATGTGTCATCATTTGCGTATATAAAAAGGCACATATTTGATACGGCATAGTTTTAATTTTTTTTTAATGTGTATATATAATTATTATAATAAGTGTGCTATTTTTATTTTCTTTTTATTTAGCTTTTATCAACTTATTCTTCCCGTGATTTCTATTTTACTTATAGTGGATTGAACTAAATTTATGGTATATATATTTGTAAAGCTGAAATAAAGCAATTATTTATGTAATGTTTAATTCTTAATATGTGATAAAGTATTTTGTATCTGTTGCTTCTGAATCTTTATTAACTAAACGATTCATCAAAGCAAAACATGTATATACCGGGCTTTCTTGCAGGAGCACACTAAATTACATTTTAAAGATAGGTATCATTATAAATGCTAATTAAGCCCAAAAGAACATTAACAATAATCACATCACTGCCTATAATAAGGAAAAATACAAAACACAAGTACTATCAATGACTTTTCTAACATATCCCAGGTAATTTTAAAATTTGATAACAAACAACATTCTTAACAGAAGATGGAAGGAACTCTTGTGGAGGCATATTAGAAAAGACAGTGACATCAATCTGTTTCTTTGCTTGCGAGAGAGCAACATATAGCTGGCCATGTGAAAAGCAAGGATAAGGTAGATAAACAGAAACTTGGTTTAGGGTTTGTCCTTGAGACTTATTTATTGTCATGGCAAAGCTCAACTTCAGTGGGAACTGTTTCCTTTCAAATTGAACAAGATATCTAGATGAAGTAGAAGGACGAAGGTTTATCCGTGGAATAAAAACTTCATTTCCTTTGTATTTTCCTACGGCAATGACACACTGGACAGTATTTGGGTATAAATTCTTGCATATGAGGCGTGTTCCATTACAAAGGCCAGCAGAAGGAAGTAGGTTTCGCAGCAATATTACAGGACAATTTTTCTTTAAGATCAGCTCATGAGGACTTAAACCACCAGAACAAAGTTTATTCAGGAACTCTGTAGGATACATGTCACATGTATCACTCAGCATTGAATTGAAGCTTTTGTAGATTACAGCTTTACCAGGAAACTGATGTATAAGTGAACTGTTGATAGAATCAACGGTATAATTTAAAGGAGTTAAAATAGCTCTTTCTGTGAACAATGTGCTATCAAACTCTCCTTTATACAATTCTGGGAAGATTGTTGTGGTAACTTCTGATACAGGATCTACATCAGATTTAAAAGGTTTACAAATGTTCACAGGTAATTGAACATATGTATTTTCAGACTACTGCAATTGACCATTTCCCAGAGCAAGTAAGAAAGCAAAGAAATCTGGATCTTGTTTGTCTCTTTGATTCTCTGTTAAGTGGAATTTGATGAGCTGAGGCCATATATATGAAGTAACAATGCTAAATAACACATCCTCCTTTTGACTTTTAAGAGGAACAATAGGTAATACCTGACGAAAATCTCCTCCGAGAACAACCAATTTCCCACCAAACTGTTTAGCATTACCACATATATCCTTTAGTAATAGATCTAATGATTCTAAATTACTTTTATTGGCCATAGAAGCTTCATCCCAAATGATTAATGTTGTTTCCTTCAAAAGCGCTGCTAAGCTACCTTGTTTAGGAACATCATATGCTAATGAATTCTCAATATCAATTGCGATTTTGAACCTTGAATGAGCGGTTCTGCCAGAAGGAATATTGACTGCTGCAATTCCAGAAGTAGCTATTGGTAACACTATCTTATTCATCAGCCTTATTTTCGCATACAAAGCATTATACAAAAAAGTTTTACCTGTCCCACCAGGTCCATCTATAAAAAATGCTCCAGACTTTCCCAACCGAACACATTCCATAATATGTGAAAAGGCAACCAATTGTTCAGCATTGAGGCGATGAATACAATCAATACATGATTGAGGAATAGGTGCATCTAAAGCATCAACAATGTCTTTAGTATGCTGCAACCCATCTTCATCACCAGAACATAAATCACCCAATCCTACACTTTTTAGTGATTTTCCCATTGCTTCTAAATATTGTTCAAGTGATCTAATAGTTAACTTTCTAACTTTATCCACATTCTCTTGGTATTGGTGACTGAAATCTTCAGATAAAGATTTAAAATATTTACACCATAAAGAATAAGGGGCTTTTAGTTGACAGAATATCAGAATAGTTGCAAATAAACGACGTAGAGCCATAGGTAACTGAGCATTTACTGCCTCTGACATACATAGATCACCTACATCATCTTCCTCAAGTAATCCTAATTTTGGAGCAGCTTCTTGAAATGTAGGATATAAATGTCCGTTAACTCATCTGAGGTCATCAAAAGATGTTGGAATTTTAACGTTTATCAAAAGTAATCTAAGAAAAAATCGTTCCCCTTCAGCCGGATAAACAAATGCTAACCTCCCAACAACTAATATGTCTTTCTTTCTTTGAACCCATTCTTTGCTGGATGCATTCCATCGATAGTGCTCACAAAATTCATCATATGAATAGCCCAAACCACCTTGGTAAAATTTCAGTCATTAAATAAGAAAAAAGCAGAAAAGAATATTCAATATTCATCTAAAAGATATATTATGTAGATAATAATAATAATCATTTAGATCAATGAAAAAACTTTATCTTAAACATAGCAGACCCTATGCAACGCAGTGATTAGAGAAAAGCATTATCCAATAATAAATGTAGAATTTCTTATATAAGCAAGAACATTTAGAAATGTGACACTAATGTGATTGTGTACATACCTGGAACATTAGCATTAACCGAAAAGAACTCAGTTAACGGAGTTCTACCTCGTCTGCCATAAAAAATAAACCGATTGTAGTCGTTCATGTGGCCTAAATTGAATATTTTGCATGTTCGGCAAGTGAACTGGTAATAGGAGGACCGGGGGTTGCATTTCAAATAAATCAAAACCGAAGATTCTCCATGCAGCTTCACATGGTGACACCCATCTCCCAGATTGATACTATTTAATTTCATCAACCACATTATCATTTTCAGGTACAATGTTATATTGGCTTCGATCATGACCTTTATACACATATTTATACAGATATTTAACTGCTCTAATAGTTGAGCAGACCTCAACATTTATATGGCTATCAAACATCAGAGATAAGTATGAATTGTATGGTATGACCCATCGATTGTCCAACTGGGCATTTCTTATTTTAACACTTTCTCCTGTGTTTTTGCACCTGTAAAAAGGATATCCTTCTTTATTTACAACGGTGTCATCACAGAACTGTTTAGGGTAACCATATTTGCAAGATTCTTTCGTTCCTGATTTGCGCATACATGTACATTTAGGATTCAAGCTTCCACAAGGACCATGCATCATATGTCTTAGTACAATTTTCCGAAGTGCGGGAGATGTAGTAGGAGGTATTTCTGCAGATACAAATTTGTCATAGTCTTCAATACATCTCAGCTTGAACTCTAGCTTTAAAATGATCAGGAAGTGAGCATGTGGAAGTCCTCGTTTCTGAAATTCAACCACAAATATCATAGCAGCTACTTCACCAAAGCACTTTTTCTCTTTGATTTCCTTTTTCAATGCAATTAATTTAGCATGGAAAATCCGTGCTACTAAATCAGACCGATCTTGTGGTTGCTCATTAGGTCCCAATTCATCTTTGATCTCAGGCCAGTTTGTGTTGCACGTCATTGTTACAAACAGATCAGGTTTTCCAAACCTTTGAACCAAAGCCATTGCATTAAAATAGCGCTTCTTCATATCTCGTGGTCCTCCTATATATGTAGGAGGTAATACAACCCTGCAACCAACATTTGTTGCTATTTTTTTCACCACAATCCAAAGAATCAAGTACACCCTGATATAAATTAGCTCTAATTGTATCTTGATTCGTGCGGAAGAAATCTAGCCTTGTATTTTCTATCTTCACATACATATCAACTATATATTGCTGTAAACATCTCCCTGCCCGGAGCAGCATATTATCACCCCTTATTTGTAATTTATAAGCATAGTATTCTCTAGCTGACACATATTTGTCTGCTTTTGTGTTTCGTCTTGCAGCACCTAAAATTTAAATACATTTAAACTATTATACAAAGTTTATAATATGCATTTATATGATTGATATATATGATAGATTAATATTTAAGAACATACGTGATTCTTCTTCTACAAGTAACTCTTCTGTAGTATGAACAACACATGAGATAACAGGATCAACCTGTTTAGTTGATTGTTGCCTTCCTCCCCATGTCTTTTTCTTGAGTCCCTGAGTCCAACCACACTCACCTCTTGGAAATAAAATAGGATACTGTAATGTATCATAACAACCATAATAGTGTTGAATTCAATGTGGGTCTGATGATTACCCTGAACAACGATGTGAGGACTATTACTATTGCTAGAGTTTGAGTCATCTGGCCATATACCAGCAACTTCATCAACTGATGGAGCATTGTATACTCTTTGGTCAGGAACTGCATTTTTATTCAAAATAATAGTTGTGGTCTGTTCAACAGGTATCTCTCTCAAAGATCTGAAGAATCTGGCATATGGATTTTCCTTAGTAACATTCATCAATATAGAAATTAACATTCATCAATATAGAAACAATGTCCTCCCTGACTTTTGGGAAATTGTTTGTGCGATTGGTGGTTTCATGCTGACCATCGTAGAAATACAACTGTAAATACTTAGCCTTCCCATTAGTAGGAAGTAAATCTGGAACAAAGTGATACATCTGACCATGTCCCTTGAACAAATAAATCCCCTTGTGAGTATTAGCATCATAATTACCGCCAAGTGAGCTCAAAGCAAACAAATTGTTGTACAACAGAGCATATTTTTTAAAATGCAGAGCATCTTCATCATCACTTGTAAAGAGTCTCTTTAGTTCCAAGGGATATTCATTAACAACTATTTGGATTTCTCCATTACTGCAACAAAAATGCAAGGTTTCATATGCAAATTTCTTAGCATTGCATTCAGAACAATAATATGGCGGTGGTAACTTTGTAGGACCAGTAGGTAACCAGATTCCAATTGTAGCTGCTGGGATTTCTGCAATCCACATATTTGTTTATTAGGTTAGTATTGTTCATGTACATGAAACATGGTTTAATCTTTTTTTTTCAACAAATATAATAAGTTTGTAAGCATCTCTTAATGAGCAGAAGTAATACCAATATGTTTAGTAGGGTAGTTGTGCCATGGCTGCTTAGGCTTCCTAATCCTACGATCAAAATGTATATAACAACAGTCAAATGTATAAACTAATAAGTATAACTACATTACTGTCCAAAGCAAACAAAACACTATTAACTTGGCATTGCATTATATTACAAATACCTGACAGGCTGAGGTTGAGACCCTATTTCAATTATTTTTCTTCGTCTACTATTTGAATGTGTTGCAGGTTTAGATAAACCAGCTTTGCAAGTAGACACTTTTGCTTCAGTTGGCAAACTACTTCCACCTGCATCAGTCAAATGTTCCATTAAATTAGATTTTTTCCTCAGATGTCCAAAGTGCATTCTCACATATCAATTAATTCATCTGAATGTAGAACCTACTTGAAGGGTGCGTAGGTAAAAGATGTCTTCGCCTACTTGTGCTACATCTGCTCCCTGCATCAATGTTGTTGTAGCTGCATAAAATATATATCTTCAGTACTTCAGTCTTTTGGTAAAGTTTTTGTATGTAAGAAATAGCTTTCGCATAGTACTATTTTACCAATTTTATTCACTGGCTGTTGAGCCTCGAGTTCCCTTTCAAGTCTGTCAGTTCTGTTCTGTGTGCTCGTAATGCAAACAAAAAAACATTCATGTGTATGTATATAACCACTGCATAGGCAAGCAATTCAAGTGCACTAAATTAAAAGAAACTACATATAACAACCACCTGAAAATATTTGACTGAAACATGGCTATTATTGCACGCCGACGTCTACTTGTACTTGGAAGAGACCTTGACATCAAGTTCGAATGTCAACCTATTCATAAAATCAATTATTGAACAATTAGATACAAAAACAGTACTATGACTAAGAGTCTATGTAATTATGATCATTGTTATATCGAAATAATAATTTACATATTGCAAAATTATACAATACTGCTAAATCTGCTATGATGAATGGATTAGTACCCCTATAACAATAAGACAGGAAATTATATACACTGACTAACAATAAACTTTAAGCTATTCAACATTGTTGAAAAATAGGATATATATATATATAATCCGTTCAAAAGCGTTTCATACAACCAAATACACACAAGCTATGATTACGATACATCATAGCAACTAATAAACATTAAATAGTTCTTTACTACATATTAGAAAGGCTAATTGGTAACAAATTTCTAGACTCATACAAATCTAATTCTTTTTGCTACTACAAATGGAGTGCTAGTTTCAGCTCTAGATGTACATGCAGTCTCTGAAGTTCCTAATGGTCTTTTGCAAACTGAAGGACCGAGAGTGCTTGGACCAGGAACAATCACAGTAGTTTGAGGATTCTGATTATGCAAAGTTGATGAGCTTTCTTCAATCAACAAAAGCATCAGTTGTGCATTATCTTTATGCCCTTTCTTTCGCTCTTCCACTTCTAAATAACTTTCCATTTCTAAAGAACATAGAACTCCTTTAAAAATTGCAGAACCATAATTCGCATCCACAATATCTAAATTATATAGCTGCATAAGATAATAAATTGTTTTCTTAGCAACCATTTGTCTAGATGCATTGCTATCCAAACACAATTCACTGAATATACACTCCATCCCACACTTGGCATAAGTAGAAGTGACTGTAAGCCAAGATACATAACCCTGCTCTTCTGAATGTACTGTTTCTAAGCCAGTTATAAGAACACCAGTGTGTCTGATGACCTTAGGCAAAAAGGCCACATAATCTATCACAACATGTATAACATCACCTACAATCTTCTTACTAGAATTCTTTGTCCTACCACGCGATTCTAGAGAGTTACGTTTTAGCCTATACAACTTTCCACACAAGTTATAAATTCGCATTATGTCCATAGTGAAGTCACCAACACACACATCATATCTTTTAACTAAAAAATGCACTGCTCTTTCAGCTACACTTTCTCGAGAGTCCTTAATAGTAGCTGCATCTTCTCCATTAAACCAGAAAATGCCACGCTGACCCTCAGTTCTTATATATACACATGAACTACACTTAACTACAACCACGGAATATGTAGCCCTAGGGAAGTCAAGACAATCTGTGATCTGATCCAATAGTGGCTGGAAAGGAATAGAAATTTTTTCACGAGATGAAGATGAAGATAAAGAAGCCATAACCTGAAATGGCCACATTGCTATCATTTAGGAAGCTAATTTTATGAATAGAAACAATCTTCATGATAGGAACATATGCATATATACATATCATAAGGCAGTTAGTTCTAACCTTGAATAATAGCACATAGCAAGCCTAATCTTAGCAATCAATGTGTCAATGTATCTGTGTTATCTTAAGTCCATATGCATTAATTTTGACTACTTAGCCTACATAACCATTTTAAACAAACGGTATACTGTCTCACTTACACCAAAAGTAATTGAAATATCAAATGTCAAAAAGTTGAAATCAAACCAAAGGAACTACTACTTTGCATACTGCTTACAATTTGGCACACTTGCACAAACTGGTGATTACAAGGTTCAATGTAAAAATTATGAAAGAAGTTTCATAATGCTAAGTCAGTTCGTATATAAAATCAAAATGTAAATTGAGAGAAAAGTGTGCATATGCCATGAAACAAGTTTGATAACTTGCTATTTTATGCGGTTTTAGGGCGTATTTGAACCTAGTTTACCTGAACAAATTTGTGTTTTGGTTCACTTTTACCCTATTATTATGCAATTTTTGTGTATCCTATGCTTCACGGGTTGTTAGTGTTTTTGTTGAGATTTTAGGTCCAAAGACGACCAAATGAAGCCCATGGTTACCAAACCGAGGTTAGAAGCAAGGAAATGATGGAAAGAATCCAAGTACAAGAGCATCGTAGAAGAAAACACGAAGAAAAGGGCCCAGAAGACCCTGCACGGCCGTGCAAGATGTTGCACGTCCGTGCAGGAGTGCAGACCTGCAGCCATCTTTCTGCCAAGGCCTGCACGGACGTGCCAAATATTGCACGTCCGTGCAGATGATGCAGCACGGACGTGCTTCCGTGATTATGAGGCAGCACGGCCGTGCAAGATGTTGCACGTCCGTGCAGGAGTGCAGACCTGAAGCCATCTTTCTGCCAAGGCCTGCACGGACGTGCCAAATATTGCACGTCCGTGCAGATGATGCAGCACGGACGTGCCAAAGGTGCACGCCCGTGCTGCAGCAGGTCATCTTAAACCGAGTTTCTGCCTTGGTCTGCACGGACGTGCCAACTTCAGCACGTCCGTGCAGACCTACAGTTTACCCGTTTCTTGTTTTCACCGTCCTCTTATTTTAGGGGGTAATATAAATAGCCCCTTTGGACCATTTTAGAGGGGTTCCCAATTTTTCCAGATTTTCATACTCCTCTTAGTTTGAAACACAAAAATCCTCAAATTAGCATAGATTTTAGTTCTTGTTTTGAAGGTTTTTCAATCCAATCATTGTAGAAGACAAGTTCCACCATTGTTAGTCAATTATTGAAGCTTCTAGTAATTTTTCTTACTCTTTCTTTCTCTCTTCTATCTTTAGTTCTTGCTTTTTATTAATTGTTTGGTTGTTCTTTGCATGTTTAATTGTTAGATTCTACTTAATTCTTAGTTTTAATTTGTTCATGAATTCCTTGAAATCTTTAATTGCTTTAACTTCCATGGATTGTGAGTAGTCTAATTTCTAGGGTTTGGGTGAACCCTCAATGTAATCACCAACGCTTGTTGCATGTAATAATTTGTTAATTGTGGGGTGTTAATTAGTTGAGCTTAAGAGGTTTCATTGTTAATTCTTGTAATTGGCCATTGCTTGAATTATTTATCTAGCTTCCTCAACGAAGGATCGAGAGATGAACTTGAGGAAGCTCCCTTATGCTTGATTGACTTGATTTGCCATGAGAATAGGAATTTCTAGTCAAGGGAATTTGCATGTTATCGTGAGGATGTTTTAACACTTGTTTCTTGCCCATAATCACGAGAGTAGGTTATGGTTTTGATGTCAAGTAATCCCTCTAGCTTGAGAGAGTAGTTGGGTGCATTTGATAACTTCCCCTAATTTATCCCCTAAATCACCATTTCTATGCATGCTACTTGTGGTCCGTGATGAAGTTGAGTGGTGTAACCCATGCCCTAGGCCTTCTTAATATTGTTAATCACCTCTTAGAATTAGTTGATTTGAATTAGAATAGTGTGACGTAATACCAACTTAAAACCCCCGACTTAATCTAGCTTGTTTAAACAATAACATTTGGTGGTTGATTCAACGCCTCTCATGGGTTCGACCCTTTCTTGCCCTTGCTACTAGTTGAGTAGGATCGAGTTAGGTCTTATTTCTTGATAGGTTGACGACGTCCTATCAAAGTTCAATAGGTACTATATATATATATTTTTTTTTTATTATGTGCAACTTTTGCCATTTTAGTCCGCTCACTATTATGTGAAACTATCTATTTACTTTCTATATTTAGTAAACAAACCAAAACCTATACAATTACAATTTTACCCTTGATTATAATTTCAGAATTTTTTTAAAATACCCTTACTTTACTTTAATCATATTATTATGTACTTAATTTAATTAACATTATCTAACCATTCCCTCCCTTTATTAATCCCAATTCCCCCTAACCCACTTGATTTCTCATCTTCCCAAGCACCAGAATTAAATCCTGATGCCTGGACTTCCCTTTATTGTCTTCTGGAGAGTTCTTCTTAAGAACCCTAATTCAGTCACTGCCTTTTCCTCTCTTCTGTTCTTTGCAATTTTCCTCCATCCTTTTGTCCCTTGATCTCACCTTCCTCCACTAGATCCTACCACTTTCGATTCCCATACTTCGCAATGTTGGACCTTGATCCTCTATGCGACGCTTACATAGCCACCGACGGTAAAGGCGAGGAAAATTTGATTCTTTCCATGATGAATTCCTTTCAAACCAGAGCTACTTTTCCACGGCGGTTTTACGAGTCCGGTGAGGCTCTCACTTTCTGCAGTTCCACCACCTACAAGGCCCTTGGTAAGGTCCTTGAAAGCTGTGTTGAGGAGGATGATCAAAACAGGGCTGAGGGGGTGGGGGAGTCCTGAGTGAAAAAATCACTTGATTTCACTTTTGTTGATGTAGATCTGGTCTATGAAAGTGATGAGAGGAGTTCTGTCGCCACAAAAAAGCCCAGATCTAAGAGGGCTAGGCCAGCGACGAAGATCCGAGCTAGAAGGAAGGCAGCGTTGGTGGCCCGTAGACAGATGTTGGGGTTGCCGGATGTGGAGTACGACATCCTCTCATCTGATGAGGAGGATGCTTTGTCCACTCCCCTTAAGAAGCTTTTCCCTCCTATGCAAATATGTGAGAGGCGGATGAACCCTAGGGTTCAACCCTCCATCTGACTAGATGCGTAACGATACCTAACCCTATCTTGACTAATTTTTTAATTTCATTTAGTCCCTTTGTTTTGATATTTTGTTGGGTTGATGCGTGTGTTGCTTATGATTGATCTGGGGGTTTGATATTTTGATGTGTTAATGGCTGTGTTGGTTATCGTTTTGGAGTCCCTAAGTTTTTATTTTTGGATATTCTGTTGATTGGATCTGGTGGGATGTGGGCTATGTTGGCTTGTTTTCTGATCTGTTGGATACTGGGGTTGTTAGATCTGTTGAGTAAATTTCTGTGATGCTGGATACTGGGGTTGTTAAATCTGTTGAGACAATCTGTGTTGGTTTATTGCACCTTGTCCTTAGTTTCTGATACTGGTTGATTCTTGTATGACCACCCTGGCTTATTGGATGTGTGGCTGTGTTAAGTTTTTGTTAGTATGTTGTATCTATTGCCCGATCTGTTGTTTTATTGGAATATACTGGCTTTCGAATATTCCTGTTGGTAGTGATTGTTTTGTTGTTGATTGGGATGGACTATGTTGGCTGGGTGGATTTGATTGATGAATGATGAGGCTGGTATGTTGTGCATGTTCATTGTTGCCTAGTCAGTCCCTTACTGTTTTCCTAATTCCTTAAAGGAGTCCCCTGTGATTAGCTTGTGTATCCTGTTTGTATTGAGTCCCATATTGTGATGTGCTATTTACCTTATCCATATCCACATGATGAAGGGACTCCATTGAATTTCACTAATCACTAGTGATTTGCTCCAACAACATGCATAATGTTGTTGTTGTTGTTGAGGTACCCTTGTGCATTAGTGTAGTATTCAACAATGACAATAAAACCCTCTGATGGATTGAGTGCCCACATAAACTCTCTATCTTTGTCATTCATATTCCATTCAAAATGTGGGTACAAATGACCATACCTTTGAGTAATGAACAAAAGACATTACAAAAGACCATACCTTAATCTAAAGACATTACAACAGACTGCCTTACATGTTTGGATAATTGTAATGAACAAAATACACCTAACCACTTGGTACTTCAACTTTTTTTTGAAAAAACAAATAAACAAACTTACATAGATAAGTGGTTATGTGTGGCAGTCCATGTGTTGTCTTTTTCTTGTAATGAGTACCCTAATCTGCATCCACCTCCAAATCTTATGTGACTTCTTCATTGCCTTGATTTGCTGGGCTAAACATAGTGTTTAGGTAGTCCACATCCTCCATTACTACTTCTTTCTGGACTTCTACTATCTCTGGTAGAATGCCAATATTTTCAAGCTTTTTTTTGTTCATATGTGATATTTTGTACTTGTTACCACCTTCTGCCTTGAGTATCTTCATCATGCATTGTTGCAAAGTAACCCAGATGTACTTGTTAACTTGGGGATTGAATGTGTCATAAGAGTCTCTCACTTTTTGTACTAGCTCATCTAAGTCTCTAGGAAAAGACTGATATTGCAAAGATTAAATAGACCTAAACAACCCTAAGTCAAGCACATTCAAATTAGGTGACTGTGCTGGCTGAAAAACGAATTGAATGTTGAACCCATTTGCTGTTGTTGCTGCCATAAATTCAGCATCCCTAGGAAATTGGTGAGGCCTTGCATTGTCCCATTGGATGACCACATCTTTGGCCAGACTTTCAGGCCACTTTGAGATGATTGCTGGGATGACCTTTGTCAGCAACATCTCTCTAATTACTTCTCTGTTTATATTCTGGAGTGCCTTTGTTTCCAGAGTCCCTTTTGCCCTATTTTTGCTTGATTTCTGTGCTACTTGCTGGACAGTAAATGGGAATATGCTATTCTTTCCATCATGTAACAGTTCTCCATTTATGTCATATAATGGCTTGCTAATTGCCATGAACATTGCCTTGAGCTTGAATCTTTTTGACTAAACTGCCATGTAGGGATCCTCCTCATTTGGCAGTAAATAAAACCTCCTCTTGTCAGGGTTCAAATAGAACCACTTCTCATCACAGTATGACATTCCTCATGTCAACAAATGTGGGGTCCTCATTTCCTGTAATTGGATTTATGTGTGACAAAATCCATCTTAGTCTGGCTATCTTATGGTCTGATGTCAGTGCTGGCTTGTTGCAGCATGTGTGTGTTCTTAGCCTTCTTCTCTTTTTCAAATTGTGAACAGTACTGTGACTAATCTTTAGTGCACCTACATAACTCCTTTCTGTCTGCCTTAAATGCAAAGGGACTAACTGTAAAATTTCATCAGAAATTTGTAATGGCTTTCTCTCTGTTCTGCCAATTTTTTTAGTCCTGACATCAATCAAGTCCCCTTTTGCCAACTGTCTTTTGATTTCTGTGAAGATTCTTGTGATGGTTGATTTGTGAATGTTGAATTCAGATGATAAATGCTTCATGTGGCCCCTTAGTTACGTGCCATTATTCATTTTCACCAAAAGTGCATCTACAATTTTCCTTCTGTTGTGCATTGTTAGTTGCTTTCTACATACAATTGGAGTCCCTTGTTGAGGCTGTTGTTGCATTTGTGAGGAAGCAACCTCAACTTCTGTGTGTGGTTGTTGTTGTTCTTCTTCTTGGCTGTGATCCATGCTTTCAGCTGATTCATACTCCCAAATGCCTGCATCCTGCATTTCTTCTTCTTCATCTAACCACAACTCCGCCATTTGTTCTTCATTTAGTATGTGTTCAACATAAAACAAAACAGAATCAACATATTCTGCCATGTCTTCGTGTTCTTCAGCACAAGGAGATGAAGTAGGGGGCCTGCTGATTTTGTGTGGAGGAGATGAAGCCTAAACCCTGATGTGCAGGAATGACAGCAGCGCATCCCTCTTTTTGTTTGGGTTTTAACAGTGTAGTTAGTTTATAATTAAGCTAACCGTAATGGTGAATGTAGGAATCGGTAATTTTTTGGATGAAACTTTGTTTTTGCTGGACTGTGTCACCCAGCTTCTAACATTAATGGCTGTAATATTTTCTGTGAAAATGGAGGCTGGTTTTTATAGCCTCCTTAAATGTTCAATGTTGCCTTTAATAGCTTGAAAAAGTTTCAAATGTGCAGCCTTTTTTAAAAAAAAAATTGGAGGGAACCAAATTTTCCACCAAAAAAATCCCCCAATTTGAATTTTTGGTGAAAATTTGGGGGGAGATTTTGCCATTGTACTTGCTGGCAGAATTTCCCACCAAAAACCATAGTGGGTGCCCACACTTTCTCTCTCCTTTCCCTTTAATTAAACCCAATAACTCTTCTTAAACTTCACCCTTCAATCTTTTGCTTCGTGAACCGCAACTTGTATGAAAGTTGCACATAAAAAAACCCGGAGGTAGTATATATATATATATATATATATATATATATATATATATATATATATATATATATATATATATTATATATATATATATATATATCAAAACACCATAATATATATCATCCTACTTAGCCTCAAATATTGAAAATTAATTAACCACGAAGTACCAGAAATGGGACTAATAGCCTTCTCCACAATCACGTGAATAGATTAGTAAAACAAATGAGTTTGACCAATGTTAAAAAAATCAAAGACAAAATTGTTTATAATCAGAATCAATTAACAAATACAAAAGTTTTACAGAAATTCTATCGTCCCTATGATACGAGCAGCTTCACTTTGTCTCTTTTCTGAAATTTTTAAAATAAAAAAAAATAAAAAAAAAACAGCTTCAATGCTTTTGTACCCACAACTTTACCAATCAAATACACATACTTCAGGGGAAATAAAGGGAAAAAAAAACCCAAAGATACATGATGGAAAACAAAGCTATAATAATTAGACCTACAAATCTAAAATACATTTTGATAACATGGTTTTAAAGAAACAACAACCTTCAATACATATCAAATCATGACATTTACAAACATCCAAAAAAAAAAATAGAGAAAAATCCATGTTAACTCTAAAATACATTTTAATAACATGGTTTAAAAGAAACAACACCCTGCAATACATATCTAATCATGAATATTCCACATTTAGAACAGCTTCTTACAAACACCCGGAAAAAACAGAGAAAAATCCATGATTTCAAATTTAGAATAGTACAAGTAACATAAATAAAGGGCAAATGGAAAATGCATGCAACAAAATATAAGATGAACTCTAACCCAGAAACAACATTTTAACAACAACTGTAATCCGAAGAACTCCCAAACGTAAAATTACCAACAAACGCCAAAAAACAGATAAGTTAGGTCAACGAGCATAATCAACATACATACAATGAAACTGCTTGACAAAAAATAGCAAAAGAAACTGCTGGACAAAAAATGGCAGCTATCTTGTAAATTCGAGAGAACACTAAAGCTAAGTTCATCTACACCAACTGAAGAATTATAACACTCACCTTATGAAATGAAAATTGAATCACAAGAAAAATCACTTGAATGCTTCTCTTGCTTTCTTCCCAGCAATATATACATTTTCAAAGAAAGATTCTGACGTTGAGTATTTCAGTGAAAATAAAATACTGACTTTGAGTATTGCTTTGTGTGAAACCACAAAAGCTGTAGAAAGTACAAAGGTACTATAGCCTACCCTACGAAACCTATACCTCCGTAAGCACTGAATACTTCTGTACTTACACTTTGCATGTGTGTACAGGGAAAGCAGAGAAAATGAGATGGCAAACAAGCCATTTCAGTGTTCATGTAGAGAGAAGAGGAAGGGCAAAACGGCCATTTCACTATTCATTTTCAACAGTAACTCTAATTTACTGTTCCTAAGGTTTCACATATTTAAAGAAGGGAAGGATCACTTTAGAACATAGTGAATTACTTTATAACATACATAATAAAATTTAGAATAAAGTGAAAAAATTTAGAACATAATAAATTACTTTATAATATAAACAAAAACTTAGAATTAAGTGAAAAAACTTTAGAACATATAATAAACCATAGGTAAACTTTAGAATATAGCTGGAAAAATTTAGAACATAGAATAAAAACTTTAGAGCATGTAAAGAAACTTTAGAACGTGTAAGTAAAGTTTAGAACATGTAAGTAAATTGAAATTAAAAACATTAAAAACAATTAAAATTACCTGAATGAGTAACACAAGAAGAAGGAGAATTATGTTCAACATCATCTAAATCCATGAATGTGCAAAAACCTAATTTCAAAAACACAAATTGTAGTAATAAAAGCAATCATAAAATAATTGCAGATAATCGAAATTTGAAATACATCAACCTTAAGAAGAAAAAAAAAAGAAAGAAAGAAAAAAAACTGATAGGATGAACAATCATATAATCAAACACATATGTATCAAAAAATCCAAAAAAGATCAAACAAAAATCGAATTGATAAATTGCAAATTTTCAAAATGATGAATTCGAACTAATGAAATCGCAAAAAAAAATCAAACTGGTGAAATCGCCAAAATCGAACTAATTAATTTGAACAAAATCAAAAGATGAAATCGCAATTATTAAAAAAAAAAGAAAAAACTGATGAATTGCAATTTGTCGAACGATTAGATTGCATTTTCCGAACAGATAAACAATAATCAAACAATGGAACAAAAATTGCACAGAAATCGACCAAACAATTGCTCAGAAAATGAACAAAAACGGTAAAATAGCATCAAAATTTTGAGGAAAAATCTAGGAAAATTTTGAGAAAAATCGCCATAAAAAACGCAGCAAAATAGCATCAAAATTGAAGCAAGAAATCGCATCTAAAATCGCAGCAACATCGCACAAAAAATCGCAGCAAATTCGGGTAAAAAATGATGAATATCGCATAAAAAAATGCTAAAAAACTCAACAAAAATAATCGGAAATTGAATGATAATAGCAAACTCAGCAAAAATATTCAACATATTCTCTTAAATTTGCCCAAAAACTCTAAAAATATAACCTGAAATTTCGCCCAAAAATTCAACATTGTACAACATACTATATGCAATGAGGAAATTCGAATAACAAAAGAGATTTTGATGATGAAATTGCAAAACTTACAACAATTTGATGAAGAATTCTGCCAATTTGATCAAAAATAGGTGGAGACTCTTAGTATTAGATTAGGAAGAGAGAGAAAGACAAAGAACTGAGAGAATATTGGAGAGAGAAAGTGATACTGGAAAGCTGAAGAAAAAATCTCTCTCTAAATATATATATATATATATATATATATATATATATATATATATATATATATATATATACACTTTGTATATTTTTTTTTATTTTGTTTGCTTTACTTTTTGTAATTTTTTATTTACTTTTCAATTTTAATCATCTACTTTTACTACGTACTGTTTATTTGATTATGTGTTGAAGTTTCTGTATTACAATGTTGTATTAGTGGTTTATTTGATTATTTGTTCTTTTAATTATGTTTCTCTCTCTTTTCTTTTTTTTTTATTTATTTATTATATTTTTTTTTATTGATTTTAGCTTCTACATTTTTTTTTTTGGTTTACCTCTAGTGCTTCTTTATTTACTTTTTAATTAGAATCATCTACTTTTGGTGTACTATAGATTATGTGTTGAAGTTTTTGTATTTTAATTAATGATGTATTAGTGGTTTATTTGATTATGTGTTCTTTTGGTTATGCTTCATTCTTCATTGATTTTAGCTGCTACATTTTGATTATTTTTTGTTTACTTTATGTGCTTCTTTATTTACTTTTTAATTACAATCATCTACTTTTAATTAGCTCAAGTGGTAGACCTGTCCTTTCCAATGGGGCTGTCTTCCTTTGCTTTGTTTGGGAAATTGTTAAATTCTTAGTTTGTTAGTATGCTCAGTCTACTTTGTTTGTTAGTATGCTTAGTCTGCTTTGTTTGTGATTATGTCCAAGTTGGCTAGTTTGTTAATCTCGACTGATTTGCTATCCTCAAATTTTTCTTTTAGTTTTGGAAGTTAACCAAAATATGAACTTAATTTTTGTGTATTTGCAGCATTTATACTACCTGAAATATCATTTGCTCGTGAACTTGTCACAATAGCACAATACCATAGGCCATGTCCATAATACTGTATAAATATTTTGTTTTACTTTTGAAATACTTTGATTTACTTTTGATATTTTTTTTTTTTTTTTTATCTACTACTGAGTAATTTTTCTGTATGTGAATGTTTAACATACACTAGTCTACTAGCTCAATAGGTAGAGCATTGTGCAATCGCACAACAAATGTGGGTTCGAATCCCACGTAGGTTCATTTATGTAACCTGGAGACTAGACCTTTTATTTAATTTTGTGTGGGGGCTATTGTTGGGTAGAAGTAGCAAAGGTATTACGGCATTTTGTTGTGGCCTTGGTCATTAAGTGAATGGTTTGGCAATGTATGGTCAGTAGTTGTGTATGTGTGGTGCTGTATCTCTAGTTGTTGTGGCGTGGGCGAGGGGGCTACGCAAGTGGTGTGTTACGAGGTGGTCGAGGCTGGCAGAAAATGGAAGGTAAAGACATAAGCTTGGCTGCAATGAGAGAACGTATGAAGATTATTGAATGTGGTTTCGAATTTCATATAGGTTCATTTATGTAATGTGTAGACGAGATTTTGTATTAGAGTTAACCGTTTAGGTGTGAGCATGTCAACTGTTAGAGGAGAGTCCCACTGAAAGGACTGAGAAAATTAAGGCAGAGGAAACTTAAATAAATAGATATGCAACATATTGTGGGCCTTTAGAAGAGTTGCTTAATTAATTCTTAAAAGTCAGTACCTTAGGCCTAAGGTTACAAATGTTATTCTAGTTTTTATACTAACATTCAAGGGCAAGTCAACTTTTTACAAATCCCCAACCTTGTCGACAATGACCCTACTCCATTTTTAAGGTTGTGCTCAAGGGCATCAACATATGCTTATTGGTTCTCGAGGCTTATGATCCAAGACTCAGCTATATTGAGTTCTCTAATAAGATAATCACAAGCGAATGAGCCATCTAGAATCCCAATCGGATCATTACTTTATTTTATACTGTCATATCTTTCAATTATATTCTTTATGATAGCTGCTACACTATAGAGAATAGAAATAAAAATTCCTGTGTAACTAGCATTTACTTTATAGTTATTTTTTATTTGCTTTTGTGACGTTTTAAATAACTTTAAAGTGTTTCATGTTTACTTTTGATTGGAGGTAGAAATAATAGTGTTGAAGCTGTGATTTTGAAAAGATGATAAATTTTATAAAAAGGTTTACTAATAATAAAATACCTGCAAAGGCAATTAATTTTTCGTACACCTTAAAGTTAAGTTGATTTACTTTTTGGTTGTTTCAATTTACTTTTGAGGTACTTTGAATAACTTTAGTGTCGTGAGGTACTTTTGCTTCTTAGTCAGAGTTCATAGTATCAAAACCACGATGGCCATGACTTTTCTCATTAGAAAAAGACTCATTTTTCGTCATCAAATTTAAGTCATGAGGCAGAGATCCTAGCTTTTGCTTGCCAGATGCAGAATACAAGGGAAATTACACAAAGTCTTAGGAGTGACTCCCATAATGATGCAGTAATTAGACTTGTCAGACAGGTTGTCTGACAAGAAGCATACCAGCTTAGGTATAAAACTATAAATTGAAGGGTTAATCTACTTTAAGAGCGATTTAGCCTACTTTTCAATATCTCTAGTTTACTTTATTTTAAGAGAAAATTAGTTTACTTTTGAGGATGAAAAATTACATTGGTATTCTGTAATCTCTATATACTAACTATTCTCTGCAGAATAAGTTTCACCCAAATTACAGTTAAATAAAAATAAAAAAATAAAAATAAAAATCTGATGCATCATTTATTTAGAGTGCCAAATTACTTTTGGAATATTTCGATTTACTATTTAGTATTCTGTATCTACATTTGCAAATTCTGCTATATTCTAAAAATAAACCTAACAGTAATTGATATAAATTATCACCTCGGAACTTCCTCCATGCAAATTTTCCTAGGCATTCTTCAGTTGCTTCTCAAATTTTAATTGTTCCTGCATTATTTCGAAAAAAAAAGGAACTCTTACAGCCTGCTCTTTTACAGCGAAAGGAGGAGCCACAATTGAAGTTCCATTCAAACCCCTGGTCTGCATAATTTCTTTTCATTTAACTCATGTAACTCCCTTTGCAAAGCTTAAGCAATTCTGTTAGACAGAATATTTTAGTATCAATATTTTATGCAATTTCCTTTATTGTATAATAGATATTTCTAGAGTTTGTATTTTAGATTCCTAGATATTTCCAGAGTTTGTAATTTAGTTAATTCCTAGTCTATAGCCTAGTACAGTGGCCTAATTACAGCTAGATTGGTGGCCAAATTACCGCTTTCAAATATGTATATAAATTGACGGAACACAATACACAAACTGGTCGACATTGTTTCAACTCCACTGTCGAGCTTATTTGGTCATTGACCACATTATACCTGATGCTGCTCCCACTATTTCTTCTTCACCAGAAAACACCGTTGACCCGGTCCTATGGCAGCGGCTGGACGACATTGTCCGCCAATGGATATATAGCACAATATCTAACGATCTCCTTAACACTATCATCAATCCTGACGATAAGACGATTGATGCTTGGAAGTTCCGCAACAATAACACCCGGAACACCCGCAACAATAATTACCACCAAAATAACAACCGTAATAACACCAACAACACCACTAATCAACAACAGCCAGGAAGTTCCGGCAACCGAACACCTCAGTCAAACGGCTAGCAATACGGGTCTGCAGCAACACAAAATCCAGGGCAGTGGTTCTTCCCTCCGTGGGCCTACTGGGGGCCTCAACCATGGGCTACACCTCCTTGTCCATATCCGACATATGGATGGAATTTTCATCCCTCTACACCATGACAGCAGTCTTCTCAACAGGGCATTCTTAGTCCTCGTCCTTCTCATGCATACTTCACTGGTTCCTCTCTCCACAATATTTCCACCCCAACTGACATTGATCAAGCCATGCATACTCTCACTTTGCAACCACCGGATGACAACTTCTACATGGACACCGGGGCTACATCACACATGACTCACTCCCAAGGTAATCTCTCTTCTTATTTTCAATTGAGCAAAAATAAGAATAACGCAATTGTTGTCGGTAATGGTAGTATGATTCCAATTTGTAGATATGGTCACACTTCCCTACCCCATACTTCCCCATCCTTATCCCTTAAAAATGTTCTACATGCACCAAATATCATCAAAAATCTTATTTCCGTTAGAAAATTCACTTCCGATAATTCTGTTTCGGTAGAATTTGATCCTTTTGGTTTTTCTGTGAAGGACTTGCACACGGGGATGCAAATAATGAGATGTAAAAGTACGGGTAATCTTTATCCACTTACAAATTTTCGAGCAAATTCGTCTTCTTTTCCCTCAGTTTTTGCAGCCATCTCTCCTACTATTTGGCATTCTCGTCTAGGTCACCCAGGAGATGTTGTTTTGTCTTCTTTGCAACATAATAATTTAATTCGGTGTAATAAAGCTCGAAAAACTGCTTGTCATTCTTGTCCTTGAGGAAAATTAATGAAATTACCGTTTTCTGCTTCTTATTCTACTACTACATTGCCTTTTGATATTGTTCACAGTGATTTATGGACTTCACCAGTTGTCAGTCATGCAAGCCACATATTTTATGTCCTTTTTCTTAACAATGTCAGCAACTTTTTATGGACTTTTCTGATTGCCCGTAAGTCTCAAGTCTACTCTCTGTTTTTATCATTCCGCTCTTACATTAAAAACTCAGTTTGAACGTGATATTAAAACATTTCAATGTGATAATGGTCACGAATTTGATAATGGTCCATTCCATAAATTTTGTGAACAACATGGCATGTCTTTTCGTTTTTCTTGCCCTCATACCTCTCCTCAAAACGGAAAGGCAGAACGGAAAATAAAATCTATCAATAATATTGTCCGTACTCTTTTAGCTCATGCTTCCATGCCACCATCTTTTTGGCACCATGCATTATAGATGGCCACTTACCTCCTAAACATCTTGCCTTCTAAAATATTAGGCTACAAATCTCCCACTCAAATTTTGTACCAAAAGACTCCTACTTATTCCCATCTTAGAGTCTTTGGATGTCTATGTTTCCCTCTTTTTCAAAACATTCATAAACTACAATCTCGGTCCACCCCTTGTGTTTTTCT